CTTTTCCTTCTTTCTTGTCTTCTTAATGACTTTTTGCTCTCTTCATATATGATGTTCTTGATGTCATCCCACAACTCTTCTGGTCTTTGTCCCTGTATGCTTGATCAAATACCTGGATAGATTTGCAGCACCTACAAATGCTTTTGTAGAAATAGCCCCTGTCAAATCTCTATATACTCAAAAGAACTGTATGCTACCCACACCTGTACATCTTGCATAGTTACCTGTGTCCACTCCTCAGTTACTGTTTGTTGTTACTGCTATTGCAGGATTGAGTATGTGATAGTGTATGTTTACCATTGTTGCGTTTTACCTCCCCGTGTGCCTTGTGTGTACCTCCCCGAGTCCATCTATGCCTTGGTCTCGTAGTCCCTTCCTTTACTGTATGTGCTCTTTCCCTTCACCCATGTTAATACGTGTCTCCACTCTAGTGATTTTCCCATCTCCACTAACCCTCAGTGGATGTGTTTTTTTTTTTTTATATAGACATTTTCTTGAGTTTTTATAATAGTGGTCTTGTATTTGTCTTTTTGTGATGGACTTATTTTACTTAGCATAACATTCTGCAGGTTCATCTATAAGATATTTCATGAATTTATTCTTATTGGTGGTGGTGGTGATGTGCCGTGGAGTCGAGTCCAACTCATAGCGACCCTGCACAGGGTTTCTGAGACTGTAAATCTTTACGGGAGAGAAAGCTTTGTCATTCTTGTTAGGAAGGAGGCTTCAAAAAGTTTGTGGAAACATGGAATTAAAACATCATGGAATTTTTCCATGAACTTCGGAAGCCCCCTTGTCCTCTTTAACATTGCAGATTATATCCTATATTCCTTAGTTTGTTTATCCAGTCTTCCATTTGGGGGCACTTAGGTTGTCTCCATCTCTTTGCTATTTGAATAGTGCTGTGGTGAACATGGGTGTGCATGTACACGTGTCACGGCTCTTAGTTCTGTAGATATGCGCCTAGTAGTGGGCTTGCTGGATCATAGCATGTCTCTTTCTAACTTTTTAAGGAAGTTCTTCCCTGTGAGGTTAGATGAGGAGGTCAGCTATTTTTACACCTTCAATCTAAATTACAACTTGCTCTATGTAATTTTCTCTCTTGGCCCTTAGGATATGGCTAATTATGTGTATTTGTATGTTTGTGTGTATATATTATGTGTTACAAAAACATACACAGAATTAACCATATGTGTATTTGTGTATGTGTGTTGTGTGTCAGAGTCTGGTGTAGTGCTATCCAGGATAAGCACTGAACTGCAAGATAGGTTTGAACCACAAAGTCAGCGGTTCAAATTCACTACTGCCCCTCAGAAATCCTATACAGGGTCACTGAGAACCGACTCGACGGCACTTAACAACAACAATAACATTGTGTGTTAGAGGCAGCAAACAGGGTAGTGGTGCTAAAGAGCCTGGGTCCCTGGGTTGGAATTCCAGTTCTGCCATTTCCTACCTGCGTTGCCTTGGGCAGGTGACTCAACCTCCACACCTCTGTTTCCCCATCTGCCCAAAGGGGTTAGTACCAGCACCTCCTTTGAAGATTGCTGGGAGGATCAAAAGGGTCCATCCATGTGAAGCGTGCAGTGCTGTGCCTGCCCCCGGTGAGGTGATTCGGGGCCAGGGATGCTGCAGAGGCTCAGACGTTACCCGGCTGCTGGTTCCCCCACTGCGGCCGCATCAAAGACTTCCTCATCTGTATTGTGGGGGGTATGGAAAATGCTGTTAGGATCAGGTGGGCACAGACAGAGACAGCCCTTGAGTGAGGGGAAGGGAGTGCTCCCTAACTATGACTCATTCCTCCTTCTCCCACTTGAGGTAAGGCCCTTGTGTGTGTTGACTGAAAATGTGAGACCCACATGACCTCCCTGGTGCCTGCCTCTGCCATTCCCCAGGTGGCCACAGGGAGCCATGCTGAGGAGAAGGGCATTCTGGGCTTCCATAGGATGGAAGGGGTGGACAGGCCATTTCTTGCTTATGTTAAGATGGGCAGCATGTCCATGTGATTGGAGGGCAGGTTGTGGGAAGATGGAGCCCGGATTGAAGGAGGAAATGAGGGAGAAGTTGGCTTGGGCTCAGGTGAGAGCGAGTCAGGCCTGGGTAGGGACCATGGGAGAGAGGTGGGTGTTGAAACTTCAGTTCCTGTTTCTGGGTACTTCCTGTGTCATAGGTCAAGCACATTACGAGTTGCCTTGTTTACATAATCCTCATGACCCTGGAGGTGCAGTAGGGACCTCTTGTTTGTCTGTTTATGTTTTTCAGATGGGAAAACAGGCTCAGAGAGGTGAGGTCACATGCCCAAGGCCCCACAGCTAGAGAGTGGCAGAGCTGGGACTCGCCTCGAGGTCTGTCGACTCCGCCACCTGGCTCTGTGCGCTGCCACTGCCCAGCCCCTGTGTGGCCTTGGACAGGTGCTGCTCCACCCAGCCCCTGCTCCCCGGCCCCTGAGGGAGGGAGTGACCAGACACTGGAGGGGTCAAGGAGGCAGGCCCGGAGGTCTCCTCTGGTTTTCAGATAGTGGAGGGCCTTCCCAAGGTAGAGGGTTTGGGGGCTGAGGCCAGCAGACTTCCCTGGGCCTCACATGGAGAGGGTGGGGTTTCCCTGAATCAGGAAAATGAAGGGTTTGGAGTTTGAGTTGGGAAGGAGGAAGTGGGTGGTGCTGAAAGTTTTGACCTGGGGGAGTAGAGGGGCTCAGTTGCTGACACTGCTGTAAATGGTGAAGGGAGTCCAGGGCACGTGACTCTCCCTTCCAGAGCTTCAGTTGCCTTATCTGACAGGTGGGTTGAAGATGGCACCTGCCCCACATGCTGTTGGCCGATATCAGAATCCCTAAAGCTCAGACTCTTGTTCTGTCCAAGCTGTTGGGGACTGTCACTCTTGGGGTCTGACTGGGGCCAGGCACAGTGCTGTTGTTCTCACCCTCCTAGCAGCGCTCTGTGGCAGGGATGCTTCTGATTTATGCAGACCCCGGGACCCCCAGAGCTCAGGCCTCAGGTTCCACAGCTGCTACCTGAGGCTCCGGGGCTGGAATCAGCTCTCTGGACCTTTGCCGAGCACTGTCACTACCTGGCAGTGTGACTTTGGGCAAGTCACTTAATTTCTCTCTGCCTCAGTTTCCTCGTCTATAACTGATAGCAGGGCCTGCCTCCTGGGGTTATGGGTGGATTGGATTCACTGTGCTCCCCTGAGTTAAGTCTGTGGCGTCATGCCTGGCAGGTCTCAGTGCCCTGTGAGTCTGCTGCTTTGTCTCCAGCGGGTGGCTGACGCTCAGGGCAGCTGGAGGGAGGAGGTGCTGTCACTAACTCCGCTTCACAGGCAGGAACTCTGAGGAGAATGATGAACCCCAGGTCACTTCTGCAGGAGTAGCCTCAGGCACCGTATTCCGTACCCCTGTGCAGAGTTACCATCTCACGTGGGCAGCTGTGGCCACGGTGGTTTTAGGCAGAACGTTTGGTTGCACATGACAGAAATCCAGCTCAAACTGGTCTATGCAAAAAAGGGAGTTCAGTGTAATTGAACATGCAGGTATGGGGTGATCCACACACACGGGCTAATTGCCTCTCAACCCTTGGCCCTTCGGAGGCTCCATTCTCTCAACCAATGGTAGAATGGTCCCCAGCAGCTCCGGCCTCACATCTACCATCTGAGCAGTCTCTCTGGAAGGAGCAGAGCCAGCAGAGTCCCAGTCTCCAGGGCTTGCTCGGGTCAGGGGGTCGGATGTGGTTGATCCCACATGAATTCCTTATTGGAAGGCTAGTCCGTTTGTTCTTTCAACAGTATGTATTGAGCACCTACTGCGTGTCACAAAACAGACCCCAATCCCCTTCTTCAGGAAGCTCACATTGGGGGAGACTAACGTACACTAGAGTAGGTTCAAAGTGATAAACACCTTGGGGAAAAATAGGGCAAGGTTTGGGGAAGTGGGAATGCCGCGGTACGGTGGGGTGTGTGTGGGGTTTTAAAACAGGGTCTTTGGGAAATGGCATTTGAGCAAAGACCTGAGTAAACTGAGGGGAGCAAAGAACAAGTTTTGTGAGACCTGGGGAGAGAGAGTCCTTGGGTGGTGGGGGGGGTGGGAGGAGGCTAAACCTCTCTGGTGTGGGGAGGAGCAGCCAGGAGGCCTTTCTGCTGGAGTAGAACTAGCAGGGAGGAGGATGGGAGGTCAGGGAGGTAACCAAGGCTTTGGGGAGGCCTTCCCCTTTACTTGGGTGTGGTGACTGGGAGGAGGAAGGGAATGGGGGCCCAGCTCAGTCCATGGGGCAGAGGGAGGAACCTGTGGGAGGAGACTGAGCATGGAAGGGTGTCAGTCCCCTCGCACAGTGTGTCTCTTGGACATCGTCCCCTCCCTAACAAGTCCCTCTTTTCCTGCAGACATCCGGCTCCGGGTGAGAGCTGAGTACTGTGAGCATGGGCCGGCCTTGGAGCAGGGTGTGGCGTCCCGGAGGCCCCAGGCGCTGGCGCGGCAGCTGGATGTGTTTGGGCAGGCCACCGCAGTGCTGCGCTCCAGGGACCTGGGCTCGGTGGTGTGTGACATCAAGTTCTCGGAGCTCTCCTATCTGGACGCCTTCTGGGGTGACTACCTGAGTGGTGCTCTGCTGCAGGCTCTGCGGGGTGTGTTCCTGACTGAGGCCCTGCGTGAGGCCGTGGGCCGCGAGGCTGTCCGCCTGCTGGTCAGTGTGGACGAGGCCGACTATGAGGCTGGTCGCCGCCGCCTGTTGCTGATGGAGGAGGAGGGGGGCCGGCGTCCGACCCAGGCCTCCTGATCCTGGATTTGACAGGACCAACCCCACCTCCTCACCTCCAGGCCATCATCTCCCCAGAGGACCATCTCTGCCCCTAGAGAACTGAGTCCACAGCTCTGAGGACTGGGACAGCACGGCCAGGCCCCTTGACAGCCCCTCCCACAGGATGTGGGCTCTGAGGCCTCAACCACTTCCAGTTGAATTTCCTTCCTGTCATCTACCCCGACTCCCACCCCCACCCCCAGGTGTGCTTCCTCAGTCTCCAGGGACCAGGGATGCTGGCATGCAGACCCCCACATACACCAGAGTAGTTCAAAGGTGATAAACACCTTGGGGTAAAATAGGGCAGGGTATGGGGAACTGTGAATGCTGGGGTGGGGTGGGGTGGGAGGTGGGGTGTGTGTGTGTGTGTGTGTGTGTGTGTGTGTGTGTGGTGTTTTTACAGCAGGGAGGCATAACCACACACTCATCAAAGGGCCCCCGCACACATGGGTCCCCCACCTTGGGCTGTCTGCACACACACTGCCCCACCTACAGTCTCCCTGGGCCCCTGTTTTGCCCTGCTCCCCACACTTCTTTGGCCTAAGGGCTTTTGTCTCAGGATCTTTGATTTGACGGCCCTGACCCTGGGTACTGGCACTGGAGTGCACATGGGCCTGCTCACCTTGCCCACCCATCTCTGTAGCCAGCCATGGCCCTGTCCAGTTTCATACCCAGTCCTGGCTTTCCCGCCTTCCCTGGCTCTTCAGAGCAAGACCCAGATGGGTTGGAGCATAACCAGTGGAGTCCTGCTGTGACCCTCAGGGCCAGGACCAGAAAAAAACCACCTTCTGATAGAAGGGAGGCGGGGGCTCAGGGGCTGCTGGGAAAGGCCTTTAGCAAATGGCACCAATAAAACTGCCCTAGCAGGGGCGAAAGTGAGCACCAAGAATCTGTAAGGCTCTTTCTTTGTGGGATAGGGAGCTACCGAGAACTTGGGCCCTAAAGTAATCCCATAGTGTTCCTGGCTCCATGTTAGGGGATAGAGGATGGCCAGGGTGTTGGGCAAACCATATGTCCGCTGTCACCACAGGCTTGCCCTCCTCTCTGGGCTGCAGTTTCCTCATCTGTCAAAGGAAATGCTGTGGATTCATAAACTCCCCACCTCTGTTAACACATGCTTTGCTCCAATCCGTCTTCAGCACAGTTTGGTGGACCGGCTACCTGTAAGGCTGACAAGAGTCCAGAAAGAATAGGGTGCTCGAAGGTCCCTGCCCAGAGCCCCTCTCCAATTGACTCCCCAGCCCTCACACCTGGACAGTCAACTCTTAACCTGGGTCTATGAGACCAAACATTTGTGCCTGCCATCTGGGGTCACTGCTGTGGTGACCTACTCTTTTCCCAACTCCTGAAAGACAGGAACTCAAGTTTCTTACACATCACTTAGGTTTTCCTTGGGAAGTGCACCAGGCTCAGGAATTAGGGCTGGGGTCAGCAGGCATTCTCAGTGGCCGATCTCTTCCCAAGAGGAGCTGTTAGCCTGTCACCTCTGCCTTTGTCACAGTCCCTTGACCTGTGTCTTTGTGAACAGGGTGGAGGGGAAGTCCAGAAGTATCCTGGGCCAGCCAGTTGCTGTGTGGTCCACACTTGTTTCATTAGCTTGTCAAGAGAGGGACCCAAGTTTTGTTGGGTACCTACTTAATATCTTTTGAATATTCAGCTAATGATGTGGTGCTGTAGGATAAGCCCTGAACTGTTAACTACAAAGTCAAAGGTTCAAATCCACCAGCTGCTCCTTGGAAACCCTATAGAGGGTCGCCAAGAGTTGGAACCGACTCAACAACACTTGGCTACAACAATGACAACAGTGCTGAGGTAGTGCTGTAGCTCTAGGATCAGCACTGGAGTGCTAAACACAAGGTTGGCGGTTCAAGCCCACCAGCTGCTCTGAGTAAAAAAGAGGGTTTCTGCCCCCATGAAGATTTATAGTCCTGGAAGGGGTTGCTGTGAGTTGGAACTGACTCAATATTCCTTTAACAACATCACATCAGTGAAAAGGTTAGTTTTAGAATCCACCCAGAGGTACCTTGGAAGATAGGCCTGGCAAGCTTCTAAAAGTTAACAGCCTTGAAAAGCCTGTGGAGCAGTTTACTCCGTGCACGTGGTCTCTGTGAGTTGGAATTGACTTGTCCACAACAACATTGATCCAGCTGCTCTGTGTGAAGTAGGAATTGATCCCTAGTTTTGATAGGAAATGGGCTCAGAGAGGGGAAGTGACTTGAGATGGAGAGGGTCTCTCCCATTTTCACATATGAAAAGAGGTCAGCAATTGGATTACAGAAAGGAATGGCTTTCACTTCCTCTGTGATCTATCCAGGTGCCCTTCTCGCCTTCCCATCAAACTCTGAGGTTCTCTTGGCCTGGCTGAGAAATAGGTTTGCTTTTTACCACCTTCCATGATTTGGGACTCTCGGCTCCTTGGGATTTACTGTCCTTGGGGTAGAGCCTGCTCCTTGTCCTCATGGTATCTTCTGGGCCAAATTCCAGGTTTTTCTCCCTCAAGACTTGGAGCCTATCTCTCCGCCCCACATGGATAGGTCCCACCTCTTCACTGGACCAGTTTTAGGCCCCACCCTCTGCTGCAGTTTCACATTGTAGGTACTGTGCACCCCACTTGTGCCTCCACCTTTCCAGCCTGGGACTTCTTTGGCACTGGCAAGCCGGAAGTAAGAAAGTCTTACCTTGGGGCCACCAAGGAAACCCGCACATGCGCAGTGAGTGCCAAAAAGTTGGCGAAGGCGGGAACCTGTCAAGCAACTTCCAAGCCGAAAGCTCCCCCAACCTCCTTGAGGGCATGCGCCGTGGAGCTTGTGTCTTCGCCTGGGTTCCACGTTAGGGTCGACAGAGGGACTCTCGAGGCCCAGAAGTGGGTCTGTGAGAACCAGACCGTGAGGACAATCCGAGGAGATCAAAGAATGTCAAAGGTGGAGAAACAGGATTATGTGGGGCCCCTGCTAAGGGGCCTGTGGGAGCTCAGAGGAAGGAAGGCCACAGTTTTAAGGAGAGGAACCTGAGGCTAGCACATGAAGGATGAGTAGGAGTTGGATGGGATGAAAGAAAGGGTACATTCCAGGCAAAGAAGACAGCCCTTGTGAAAGCCTCAGGGAGCATTCCAGAATAGGATGTTTCAAGAGACAGATGGACAGAGTCAAAGGTAAGTGGAAATGCAGAGCTAGCCACCCCCTCATTCTGTCAGCAATCATCTGCTACCACATGCTTTGTGGAGAGCTTAGGTGGGTGGGTGACAGATCCCACACCTGACAACTACAAGCTGACAAGTGAGACTGGCGACAAGGCCCAGTGTGCTTGACAGCAAACATAGTTCCTTGAGGCTTCCTGTGTGGGGACCCTGCAATGACTCCAACCAGGAGGCTGCCCTTGGAGCTCCTGCTCTGGTGAGTGAGCCAGACAGGGACACGGGTGGTCTGAACCAGCCATGAGGACGAAGGAGCCCAGAAGACACTGGGTGGAGGGATCCCAGAAGGCTTCAGGGATTAGGAGGCTCCTTGCTTATTCTATAAAAAAAATACCACCACCAAGAACTATTGCAGCAAAGTGCATAAAGACAAATGTACAGTTAATAAGTTGAAAACACCTGTTGTTAAGTGCCATCGAGTCGATTCTGACTCATAACAGCCCTGTATAGGGTTTCAGAGGAGTGGCTGATGAGTTTGAACCGCCAACGTTGTGATTCAAACCAACCTTGCTTAACAGGACTCTAAAACACTTGTACCACTCACATAAAGAAATATATGCTCAGCATCCCGTAAGTCCCCACCCCCCATCTTTCTATCATTAGTATCTTCCTGATCACAGCTCCCCTCTTTATTCTAACTGGGGACCATTATCCTGATTTTTACTGTAAATCGTCCCTTTTTGCTTGATCTTTCTAGTTTAACATCATTGGATGACACTGTCCATTTTGTCTGAGTTTGAACTTGATGTCAGTGGAATCATACAGTATGTTTTTTGTTGTTTGGCTACATTGGCTCATTATTGTGTCTGTGAGATCCTTTCATGGTGTGCTTACCTGTAAATGACTCATTTTTCGTGTTGAGTCATATGCCTTTCAAGGACAATACCACAATTAATTTATGTGTTGCACCATGGATGGACACTTGGGGAATTCCACATTGGGACTATTATGAATAATGCTGCTATGAACATTCTTGTGCTAGTTTTTGGTGAACAAGTGTAGCTGTTTCTGTTGGGATCTAGCCACTAAGTGGCATTTCTGAACATGAGGAAGGGTATGTTTAATTTTAGTAAATCTTGCCTGTACTCACCTCTTACGGCTGTGGTTATCAAATGATCACAAATTTGGTTACTTAAAAACAACAAAATCTTATTCGTTCACAGTTCTGGAGGCCAGAATCAGTTTCCAAAATCTGTTTCACTGGGCTGAACTCAAGATGTCAGGAGAGTCATGCTTCTTTGAAGCTATGGGCAAGATTCCATTCCTGGCCTCTTCTAGCTCCTTGTGGTTCCAGGCATTCTTGGCTTGTGGCTGCCTCATTCCAATCTCTGCTTCTGTGGTCACATTACCTTCTCCTGTCGGGGTTATATATCACTCTGCCTCCCTCTTATATTGTTGTTGTTAAGTGCTGTCAAGTCGGTTCCGACCCATAGCAACTCTGTATAGGGTTTCCAAGGAGCAGCTGGTGTGCTTGAACTACCGACCTTGCGGTTCAAACGACTTTGCAGTCCAGCGCATTAACCCACAGCGCCACACCAGTAGTCCCTCTTATATGGATACCCATTTTTGCATGTAGGGCCCACTTGGATAATCCAAGAGTCGTAACGGAATCTTATCTGCAAAGTTCTTTATTAAACCTCTAAGGCCACATTCACAGGGATTGGGATATAGACATTTTGGAGAGAACATTTTCCAGCCTACCACACTGCCACAATGGTTCTCGAAAGTATTTATTCTTCCACCAGCACTGAATGAGCCTTCTCTGCTTCAACTCCTTGCCAATACT